CAATCAACCAGTGGAAGAGCTTACCCCCAGAAATTGTGGGCGCTCCATCACTGGAGATTTTTAAAAAGAGACTAGACATTCACCTGACTGAGACGGTATAGGATCTCCTGCTTGAGCAGGGGGCTGGACTAGAAGACCTCTAAGGTCCCTTCCACAGCTCTATTCTATTCTACTGTTGGCCCTGAGTCTTTTGAAAGGGTGGTTAAACAAATAAATATCTTTGGTCTCATTGTACATTCCAATGTGGTTCCAAACTAAAGAACCCTGATTCAGGTTGAACTAGATCTGCAACTATCAGTATGCTATCTGGCAGTGACCAGAGTCCAAGCGAGGGTTTACTCACAGTAACAGCGAGCAAACCCTGTGGCTTCTGTTGATCCTTTGCAGGAAAAGAAGATCCTAGTTTTTACAAATTTAAAGGGCTGAATGCTATTATCCTTTACTGGTGTAAGCAAGAAATGTTTTAATCAACCCAAAGCCAGATAACAATCACACCCATCTCTCCAAAGTTACTCATCTCAAGCATCCATAAATGGGTAGGGTTATGACTCACTAAGTTCGGTGCAGAAGTCAGATAAATTCATTATCTCTGAAATGGAGATGGAAGATAGAGATTGAAGAAGGAGTTCAGTAAGAGTAGGATTCAGTAAGGAAAGCAACCTCACAACTGATTCAAACACTACCTTTTGCTGCAGCCCTATAATGGAATAAGAAATCTCCAGTAGGTTATGTCAAAGAACAGAATCTGTATGGTCTCTCCAGTTTATTTGATGCTGCTGCTATTGGTGATGATGATAATGATATCCATTCAGATTTGTCCTGCCTATCCTTCAGATAATGGGAAATATTAGTGTAATTGGATATTTCAATCATTTCTTTTCTTCACACCATTTTTTTTTTTTTTGTCTTTTGTTCAATAGTGTCCAATTCTTGAAGACTGCTGGAAGAATCTCTGAAGTTTTCTCGGCAAGGATTTTCAGAAGGGGTTTGCCATTGCTTTCTTCCTAGGACTGAGAGAGAGTGACTGGCCCAAGGTCATTCAACTGGCTTTGTGTCTAAAGTGAGACTAGAACTCATGGTCTCCTGGTTTCTAGCCTGATGCCTTAACTACTATACAAATGAGGTTGTCTCTACACCACTTTAAGTTTAAACAAAAATAATTAATTCCAATGTAAAATATATGAAGAATCTATAATTATGATTAATTTTCTAGTATCCATAATTTCAAGAGTTTTGAGAGTATATAACTTCCAGTGCTTTTGACACATCCCCATCAGTAGATGTTGTGGGGAATCCGAAATAGGAAAGTGAATGAGTTTTATGACCATCTGCTTTGTTATTGTTCCTCTTGCCCATGTGGCCCCACATTATACCACATTATACATTATACACTGATATACCAGTGTATACCATTATACACATTAAGGTGTGTGGACTTCAACTCCCAGAATACTCCAGTCAGCATGCTGACTGGGGAATTCTGGGAGTTGAAGTCCACACACCTTAAAATTGCTGAAATTGAGAAACACTGCATTAGACCAATAGGGAGCTTTAAACCCTGATTCCCCACCCCCTGATTCTCCTCCCCAGAATAAATCTAACTCATGTTGTATAGGTTTATGTAATAACCAGTTGGGAAAGTTTGCTTGCTAACTGAAAAACAGGCCCCAAACAGGGTGGGGTTCTTGTATGTAATTACATGGCTTCTAAAACACTGCTTTTCTATCATGGGAAAGAGTCCTGTAACTTTGATTTCCATGATGGCATGGCTTCCCCTGCAATTTTTTTTAGTGCCCCCCAGCAGTTTCAAAGAATAGCTTCCAAGTACATGGGTAGAAAGGTGTTGCTTATTGGAAGTCTCATCCATTAAGGTGTGGCTTCACCCAGCCCTAGCTTAAGGCAAAAGCAACAAGTTTTAACATCTCTTCTAGAAACTTTTTCTGCTGATTTAAGTCTTTAGTATTTAGCTTTCACCATGCACTATTTTTTAAACTCTTTTAAACCAAATATTATAATGGGGGGGAGAGATAATTGCCCAGGTTATATAAGTTCTATATAAATAAATACAATTTACATGATCACCAAATGTAGTACATTTGTCACCGACAGAGAGCTGCATTGTACAAAATGAAAATATGGTCTGCTATAATCCTCTAAATCACAATACAGTATGCTGCAATACAGTGTGGTGTTAGCCCTAAATAAGAACAGCACAAAAACCTAAGGGAAGTGTACTGTAGCATTGTAGATTGCAATAGAATGTACTACAACATGGTTCTCTTAAGTAAATCTTTAGTCATCCATCATGTTTCTTTTCTGCATTATCTTGGTCCGCTCAATCCCTCTTCCCACCCTTGTTCTGCTCATATTTCATCTTGGTGCCTCACAATCTTGGTTTAGACAACTTTATTCTATCCCATTCCAGTCACCCCAGAGATAATATGAGGAGAAACTGCATTCCAATTACTAACACGCTGTTCTAAAATTATGTTCACATGTGCCATGATGTTTTTAATTTTAGTCAGACCGAGCTTCCAGTAGATTTAAACCAAGCTAATCATATTTTCATCTGTTAGCTTTTGTACAATGGAACTCCCAAGTTAAGAGGAAGGAATGAAAAAAAAATGACTTCAGCATCCATGTGGCTTAATTCCTCCTCATCAAAATTTTATTGCTTTCTCCATTTGTCACTTGCATCTAGTTCTAAGTAAATCCACTATCCAAGTTTAACAGCCTTTTCAATACAGTACTGTGTCTATAAGCTGCAGCTTCACCAATGCAACTATTCTGACTGGTTACATGGTACAAATATTGAATGTGTTTCATTTGGCTCAGGCTTTAGATGAATAAATGCCCCACCTTAGGAGTGTCTATGGGAGAGTTGACTTGCATGCCTGGGCAAATACATCATACCACTTTGTTCACATAGAAAAACCCATCCCAGCTTACAGTATCTCTCCCTTCTTCATTGCTTTATACTGCAGGACACTCGATTTATTTGATCTATCTTCTTCTTTAAAAAAAAAAGTTCTACTTTTTTTGCAAAACACCTTTGTCCCAGGATGAGGCATTATCAGCATTTATTTCTTTTACTTTTGAAACACTTACTTGAATTTTTATTGGTGAAATAATGGCTTTTCAGGCCTAATCTTGGTTTAGACAACTTATTCTATCCCATTCCAGTCACCTCAGAGATAATATGAGGAGAAACTGCATTCCAATTACTAACACGCTGTTCTAAAATTATGTTCACATGTGCCATGATGTTTTTAATTTTAGTCAGACCGAGCTTCCAGTAGATTTAAACCAAGCTGATCATATTTCATCTGTTAGTTTTTGTACAATGGAACTCCGTCAGTAACAATATAATCTACTACATTTGGTGATTGTGTAAATACAACTTTAAAGTAATATGTACCCCTAATGGTTCTGCAGTGATTTCTCCTCCTCCTACATAACTATGGAATGCCACTCACCCAAAGGGTGGTGCAGTCATGATTCAACTGGAAAGAAACTCCCACAGTCTTCAAGCCCTACTCAGTCTAATCATCACTGTCACATTAGCAGTGTGAGGTACAGCTGAAGTAGGTTTAGTAGATTAGGGGTGGAAAAAGGATCATGGAAATGGTTCTAGCTACTCATATCCCTTATTGCCTGACTTGCAGGTGATGAGTTAGACCAGATTGAAGTGCCATTGAGCCAGCTCTATGTCATTCATCAGAAAAAAAGAAATCTGTTTTTTTTCCTAGTGCTGACTTCCTCCCTAATTCTGATGAAAGCAGTAAGTTTCTGAAGGAGCTACTATTTGCTATGCCTTGTGTATTCACCAGTTCCCAGGAGGAGAAAGTTTCTTGGAATCCTCTAGATAGATTAAATATATGGAGCCTAGTCCTGCTGTGTCCCTTATTGTTGTTGTTTTTCTTCAAGGCCTCTGTGCTGTTTTCTTGCTATCAATTTCCCTTTCGTAGAAAAAAAAAATAGCATGCACATATGTCCTACAGACATGCTATATATCTTTTCAAAACAACAAAACACCGCTCAAAAGTGTTTTGTTTCATCCTGTAACTTATTTGTTAGCATATTTGTTTTCCCAGGCTCAAGACCTAAGGCCTTCGCATTCCCATTAGTGAACCCTATCATTGTGCAACCTGTTGGGCAGGCATGTTCTCCCTAGTAGAGATTGAGTGCAGACTATAAATCCTCTGCATAATTTCCAGGCTAGAGTCTGCAATCCACAGGCTGACGAAAGGGACTGATGAAACGTGGATGCAATACTGGTTGAAGGAATATCTATAGCCCTTGATTCTTCTCAGAAAAGACATCTTCAGAATTTTAAATTTCATTTTTCTGCAGCTTAAGGGAGAAGGGTTTTTATGGCTAGATTTAAGTACATCCAACCATCTAGCATCTATTGATATTGGGCAAAATTAGTTCTTTAGAAAGAACTAGTCTGCATCTACCTACAGAATATAAATATATTTAATAAACTAGGATCAGGATTTACAGAGTGAATGTAACTACCAGCAACCTTCTTTTGGGAGCCCTCCTTGAAATAATATTCACCTTCCCTTAATTTTCTGAGATTACTGGCAACAATGCTCACTTTTGCCAAAAGATACTTCTTTGCTGCTTTAAATTGTTCTTTATTCATCTCCTGAGGGAAGGGGGAAATCTCAGGTCTGGGCTATATTAAAGACACTGTTAAAATTCAACTCCCATGAAGGCCCACAAATTTCCTAGTCTTGCCTTAAGCAATCAATGCTTAGAACTCTGCTAGTAAACTGCCGAGAATACTAAAACATTTTTGCAATGGCTGAATTTTTAACAGCAATTATAGCGTCTGTATGCTAATTTTTTGAATTTTCAACAAATTTGCATCTGTCATTTGATCAGAGCAATATGTTCACATACTTAAATTGTATGTGTTGTTTATTTTTATTTTTAAGTATTTAATACCAATCCTACAAATTCTTTTACTCATTAAGCGACAGACAAAAAAGTTCTACTAACTGATTTTAATAATATCACATCCTTTTGAACATGCAATTAAGAAACATGGAAAATTATGCCAAAACACAATAGATGATATTAAGTTCAACTTGCCACTTAAACTATTGATTTAACTTTTAATTAAGCCTTGAGCATTATAAAGAACATGGAAGCTATACAGCTTTATGTATTTTTACTTAGGAATAAGGTTTGAATTAAGAAACAAGCCTATAAGACAGGGGTGGGCAACTATGGCAACTTTACAACCTGTGAACTTTAACTGGACTTTAAGCCAGCCATGCTAGCTCAGGAATTCTCAGAGTTAAAGTCCACAAGTCATAAAATTGTCATAGTTGCCCACATTTGCTGTAAGAAGTCAGAATAAATGGCAAAAGAAATGAGTACCAGGTGACCCTTAGTATAATAGATAATGTATATATGTACATTTTCTGAGTTTTCTACGCCTATGCTGCATCATTGTCCTTTCAGTGTTATGATGGATTGTGTTGCTTTCATCAGCTGAACATAAACAAAATATTACAAAAGAATTGCCCCTTAAAAAAAATAATGAACATATTTTGGCAATTATACATCCATGCATTAAAAAAAGGCTATGTATTTACACTTTAAAACAAGTAGGCAAAACTAAGATATGCTATTACAAAAGTACAACTGGAACTTCAGCAAACTCTTCTTTTAATCTTGCTTTCCACATAGGTCAGTTTGCAGATCTGAGAACATCTAATAACAGAAGACTGTTTATTGTAAACAAGTTTGGAACATAATAGAATTGTCTTTAAAATGTGCAGGCCACATAGTTTAGTTAAAATGAACAGAAATTAGGTTGGTGTCACGTTTTCTCAGTCAGGGTAATTTGTTCCCAACATCTTCCTAACTAAACAATTTATGCACTTCATACAGTCTGTTCTGGCTAATACTGCTTTCAGGTACATAAACGTTTTCTATGTTGGCTTCATCTTTCTCATTCTTGTTAATAAAGATGTTATAGCCTAAATTTGGAATTTTTTTTAAACAAAGCAATACTGATGTTTCGTTAGAACAATACAGATTCCAAAATTTTTCAGTCAGCATAATTAAACATCCAATTCTGGGAGTTGCAATCCCAACACATCTGCAATTGACAGGCTGGAGAAGACAAGCTTATACATATTAGTAATAATGCAATCAAGAAGGTTTTTAATAAAGGAAAATATTTGTAGCTCAGGGTTGACATGAGGGGTCAGAGAGCATCAGGGACCCCTCAAGGTATTTTGTTTGGGTTTTTTTTGGGAACATCTGGTTTCTGATGATATTTCTGTCTAGTGGATTGAATCTAAACAGGCCTTAGCAGGATTTATCTCACACTAACAAATGAAGCAGGGTAGCTGTTGTCATTAATTTATCTTCCCCTCTGCAGCCCTTTGAACCCCTGCCCCTAAAAGTGTGTCCCCAAAGGATTGGGAGCAGGAGGGTTGGGACTACAGGAGGAAGTCAATACTGATTATAAACCAATTCTGTAAATTGGTGAATGTTTAATTAAGGCAGTTCAGTTACTATTTGCCTATAAAAACTAATGGTAAAAAAAAGTTGTTTAAAAAAATTAACAAATCCACATTAACAAGAATTGTTAATACTTTTTTTTTGAGCTGCTAAACCTCTATATATTCTAGTTTTGTATGTTGGACTTGAGCTGATAGGTATGTCTGTATGCTTCTTTGGATCCCAAGCAGCGAGGGACTCCATATGATGGCCCTGCTGCTCTTTATAGGAATCTTAATAAAATTCAGGTTTGACATTTCCCAAAATATGATCTTCATAGAGGGGGAGACAACAAAAGAAGAATCCAAGACCTATGGCCATGATGCACATGGTCCACCCAAATCCATAGCTCCAGTCAAACACATGCACCGTGTTTACTGGGAAGACCACACGTGTTGAAATCATTACAGCATAGATGACAAGGCCCATTAATGAGAATATGGCTGCAAAAAATGAAAAGGTTAAAAAAAGTTAATAACACATGAAAACAATAGTAGAATAGAATTGACTGTATATTTTTAAAAATAGCCTTGAGAGAATTCTCAGCCCTGTCTCCATCCTAGTTTGTATTCTAATTGCCCAATCTATCTAATACGGTGATTAAATTATATTGTCCTATACTGTCAGAGAGATGATTCATGCAGTCCAGTATTTGGCAGCATCATAAGATCCAGCCTTGTAACTTGAGACCATTTTTAGGTAAAAAGGCTAAGGTAACTGGAAGCAAAGCAGGTTCTTTACCGCTAAGCTACAGTCCTTTTCCTACTTTGGGGTTTGAAGCTCTGAGGGGAAATATCATAGAAATGATGATGTGAGATTCTGAATCTTATTTTACCCAGGAATAATGAAGGTAAACATACAATTTACAATTTCAGCAATAAGGTTGATGTTTGATAGATAACCTTTGAGTCATGTTTATGTAGAATTACTCACAGGGTGAACATAAATTTAGAATGCTTTTGAATCAACTAAAATAAAATAAATTAAGAACCCAGGTTCTACAATTTCATACATATATCAGAAAAATAAGGAGAGATGGATGATGAATTCAGAAGAATTTAGGAAAAGCAGAAAGGTTCCTTTTAGATTTTTTCCCCCTGCCCTCTATTTTAGGATATAGACATTATCTTGTTCCCTGGTTTAAAATGAAATAGGCAATGCTTGTGCTTTTTTTTAAAAAAAAAATGCTACTATTTTCTCCATTGATTATAACAAATATCATCGCTTATTAGCCTGCTTTTATGAAATGTAGGTAGTCCTTGATTTACAACCATTCATTTAGTGACTGTTCAAAATTACAACGGCAGTGAAAAAAGTGACTTACAACTCATTCTTACATTTGCAGCACCCCCGTAGTCACATGATCAAAATTTAGGTGCTTGTCAACTGGCACAGTTGCACTGTCCCCAGGTCATGTGACCATCATTTGTGACATTCCCAGCCAGCTTCTGATGAGCAGCGTCAATGGAGGAAGTCAGATTCACTTAACGACTGCATGATTCACTTAAAAACTGCAGTGATTTGCTTAACAACTGTGGCAAAAAATCATAAAATGGTGCGTGACTGGCTTAACAACCACCTTGCTTAGCAATGGGAATGTTGAGTTCAAATGTGGTTGCAAAATGAGATCTTCCCATACTGCTGTTCAGACAAGCTCCTGAGAAAACGTGAAATGGCACTAATCTTTTCTACACGCCTACACTGCTATTTTCTTACTGCCATAGAAACAGTCAGTGTCTCTCCAAACCAAATATGCTCTGCCATATTCTACAATATTCTATCCATATTTCTCTTGCTTTGGATATGCAGCCTTACCAGCAACAAAACACAAGCCTCCTATGCCTCTGATGAAGTTGAAGCGAAGTGTTGGGATGGCAAAGGCAATGATGGACAAGGCAAAGCAGATGCAGACGAGTACAAATCCAACTAAGAAGGTGCCAGCTGCACCTCTACCCCAAGCTGGAAATAAAAACAGAAAACAATAGTTCCATCCTTTATGCCTCACCCTGGCAAGATACAGTTCTAAAATATCATTCAGTCGGGCAAGGAAGGGTAGCCCATCCATTTATCCATTTTTAGGGAACAATGTTTTTATTAAGTAAACCGCCATTGGATGGGTTCACATATAGTATTAAAAGGCATCGCTTGCCAAATGTAACAGCTGGATTTCCATGATTTGCTGTACTAAATCAAATGGCTCAAAGTGCTTTGTGAACTCCAATCATTATATCCATATAGTTTTATCTGTCGGGGAGGGGGGCTGGGGAGGGGGCAATTATTTCATGGAACAGAGTCTTTGATTTTAAAGCAGCTACAGTTTTAGAGTAAACCACTTGGTAGGCATTCATTTTTTTCCCCTCCAAGGAAATAGATACGATAAAACGATTGCCACCTTTTCTGTTAGGCATCCTATCTTCATCTCTGTTAAATAAGGTATTCTGGGTTATTTTAATATTTCAATAACCTGTTTGAACAGGAACAACTGTGGGACGCGTAACCAAATTAATTCTGGTTCTCATAAAATCTCTTTCATGTCTTGCCATTACAGTAGTGAAGAATTGACAGGCACAATGATATTGATCTCTTTGGATAGGAATAACTTGAGAATGCAGCAGAGAAAGGAAGGTAGTGGATTCTAATCCTTAACCATCTAAGCATTCAGGAGTTTGTTTGTTTAAAATGAGATGCTCACAATACTGATTTGCTCTTTAACAGATTAAATCCAGGGAAGATCCTGGCATGTCAAATATCAAAAACATTTTGCTAAGAATAGTCAGCTCAGAATTTGTAAAAGCATTTGTAAAATAATAGAAATCTTCACACAAAGATATTAAAGCTGAGAAGATCATATTTAAAAGCTGTGGGCAATGAGTAGTAGAGGTTAATTGGGATTTTACAGACACAAATTCAAGAGATGGGTCATACGGCTTTGTGGAAAGGGCATACAAGATGAATGTTGCACTTTTACTTGTGCAGCATTTTCGTTTGGAATAGCATTTTAAACATTTCTGTGTATATTCCTCAGATTTCGCCCACCAATCTAGAATAAATAAATTACCTAAGGATTCCTCTGAGGGTTTTACATTTTCTGCACATGAAAATCTAACTGACTCTATAAAAATGATTGAACCTTATTATATATAAATGATTGAATCTTATTACATAGTATAAACAGAATATCTTTCACTGAAGGCATTTTAAACCCCTCATTGATGAAGATTTTTTAAAATCCTCCATTTCACTTTATTTGGCTTGCACTCTACATAACTAGTGCAGCCTTCAAATATTTTATTCCAAAGAGCAGCCAGAAAATAAAAGTCTTCATGACATAACACTATTTCCAAAAAGAGAAAACCAAATTTAACATGCTCCTAAAATGTGTGTGCTGGAATTGCTATCAGTACATTCTGAAATACTGAACACTATACAGATCCACTGGGTATAATAGTTTATCTCTAATATGTAACTGTATACATCCATTTTCAAACAATTTCTTAGACTTTAGGACTGGCACCAATAAAAGAAATCAAAATCACCATTTTCAAAATTTTAAGTTGCTATGTTTTCTGCTGACCGAGACGAGAATCACAGCTACATCTTCTCTAGTCCAAGAGTACAAATAAACCAGAAAAAAGGAAGGTATGTCTTTATAGCATCTACTTTCACAATTGCTCTGTCTGACACTTCAATTCCTTCTTTTTTTAAAAAAAAAAAACCCACACACATTATTGAACATTTCTAATTTGGAGAAAATATTGGAAGTAATGATAACAGTGAAAAGAACTACTTGGTGTTACATGCAAAAATGTTATAGAGCATATTGCCCCTAAATGGTGTAATTTGCTACGCGCGCGCGCGCGCGCACACACACACACACACACACACACACAAATTGCCTTACAGTGTCCCCATCACTGAGATCCTTACCAAAATCCATGAGAGATTTACATCGCTCATCATCTTCAAAAGAGCATAACCTCCATAACGAGCCTTTACTCCCAAATGGATCACTTTCTGAGGTTACCCAGCCTGAACCAACTAGTGAGATGATGCCAAAGATCATTGCTAAGCCCAGCAGGAGAGGCAAGATCCATCTGCAGCGGGTATAATCCAGACCATACTGAACCATCTTGCTGTTGGGTCTGTTTCAGATACTTAAATGCTAAGCAAAAAGGTCTTCCTACAATTGCTTTGGTGGTCTGGGGGAAAACAGGGTAAGTAAAATGTGTGTGAATGGAAAAGATACAGAGCTATAGAGATAAAGAAAAGAAGGAAAGCAGAGAGAAGAGAGCAACTTTGTGATCCAGGCAGGCCCTAATGAAAACTCCACCTAAATTTCTACGAGCAAGTCCCTACAACAACCTGTTGATCTGGAAACAAAATTCAGGGTTGGGACTATGCTCATTTTGGAATCTGCCTCCTCCTTCTTCGTCAACTACTAATTAAGATAAATATAGATCATATCCATTGCCATTATTATTTAATCTTTTTCATGGCAAGTAGCATTTCACAACAAACAGCAGTGAAGTGTTTTTCAAGGGAGCAATGAAAGTTAGGAGCATATTTCTGGTGAATAAATTAGTCCCAGTCTTTTTTAAAAAATATTGAACAAATGGTTGAGATTTCCCACTGCTTAGCTCTAGGAGTCTAAATAGCAAAAAAGAGTATGAAAGCCACATCTGGGCATTTGTACTATGAAGAGATTTGTATTGCAAAGCAAAAAAGTTCTAATTTTGAATAGTCATATATGGAGATAGATGGACTACTTAGTGACATTGAACAGGGCATAAAACAAAGTTGTGTGAAAGCCCTCAATGTTGTTCAGTATATTTGTGGATAAATGCACTATATAAACATTACTTGGGATGACATGGTTGGGACTGGTTGGAAATGTGAATTATATATATTTTTGTATATAGAAGATATTATATTGAGGATGTTATGTTGTGAGATTAAGAAGCCAAATGATTTTTCAGAAAGGTTAAATTCACTTTATGATGCAGTGAAAAACCAAGGTCTGAAATTAATGTACTGGGGAATTAATATACCAAAGACTAATGAACTGTGTTTGACAGGGAAACTGGAATAAAATATTACAAGTTATCCATCACAGGTTAAATCAGGGGTAGTCAACCTTGGCTCTTTTATGACTCGTGGACTTCAACTCCCAGAATTCCTGAGCCAGCTAAGGAATTCTAGGAGTTGAAGTCCACGAGTCATAAAAGAGCCAAGGTTGACTACCCCTGGGTTAAATCAAGACAACTAGATGAATTTGAGGTCCATCTATTTCACTCATTCCTTCTTACCACTGCCTTTCCTTCAATTAGTTAGCGTGCCTGCGGTGGAATACCTCCTTCCCACTGGCCATTGGTCACAGCCCCCCTTGGTCATTTTTTCCCTGATTGCCAGGCTGACAGCAATTCTGGGGAGATTCAGGCTGGATACAAGGAAGAGCTTCCTAACTGATCCCGGATGCTATGCAAAATAATGCACTTTCCTTCAGTACAGGTCTTTTAATAGTGGCTAGATGGTCAGCTCTTCAAAATGTTATAAGGAATAGACTAAATGACCTCTAATCTTCCTTCCAATTATATGGTAACTGTGTTTTTCTTTCTCCCTGTAAACCCCACCCCCCTGATTCCATATAACACAAAGGACAGAAGCATGTCTCGTTTTTACTTCATTCCTGACCACATGCTTCTACTGGTATTTCCAAGTTTTCAAATATCCTCATCCATTTTGCCGTTCTAACAAGGTACATGAGTTCATCTATTTGCTCTTAGTTTGAAATATTAATGTTAGAAAACAGTAGTTTTGAAGTAGAGAAGAAAGAGGAGGTTGTGTTTATGGCAGGCTGGTGGTGGATCAACGGCAACACTATTCATTGATGTCTTTCAGAAACAAGGGGTCAACTATATTCACACTGGTGAATACAGCCTTGCTAGTCAAAATTATTTGCCTGATTGGGATGTATTTTTTTACCCTTTTACCCTAGGCAATACTTGTTGAGCTTAAAAACCGGTAATGGTACCCAACTTGGCAGATTCCAGTGTCTTTTTCAAATGCTTTTGATGAAATATTGAAGTTAATGTAAGACCTAACACCTCTGTCAAAGACCAAGTTGAAAAATTATAAAATGCTGGGTATGTGGGATAATAGCACAATTTATGAAAAAAATATATAAGATATAAAAATATGTTAAAAATATGGAGCCCCCAAAGTCAAAATAGTGACCACAATCATGAAATCGAAGCACTTTCCCTTGATAGAGTGTGTATAAGAATCCATAGGAGTGGATTGAATGAAAACTAATTGACTTCGTAGCTCCTTAATTCTCTTAAGGATTAATATTTACATCCAGGAGATATAGAGTGACATTCTCAGAATCCATGTTGCTCCAGCCACAGAAGAAGGACCTGCTATGAGCGTAGTTCCTCATCTTTTAGATCAGAGGAGAATTTTTCCCATCAACCTTCTCCTCATTCATTCCATTAGTCTGCCAGTTGCCCTTCAAGCAACATAAACACAGAACATAATCTTTTCCTTTATTATTTTAATATATACTTTTCCTTTTCAAGCCCCAGGCTTTCAACCACAAGATTAACTTCTGTAGGGACTGGCAAATAACAGTGTAAAATATATCATCTGATGTAAAATCTAGCATGTTGATCATAATAGTAGCACTTTTAGCAGTATCGAGACAAAATAATACTGAGAATCAGAAAATGGGGACTGATTCCTCTTCCTTTTTGGTTATATCCAGTACTTTTTTTGTTTTTTTTAAAAAAAGGTGCCAGCGCTCACACACATCATACAACCCCGCCTTGCCTACCCTACAAGATTTACCTTTGTAGTTGAAAAAAAAAACCTTCAATTTTTAGTGTATCTAAAAGACTAGGATTTTGTTCAAGGTAAGTTAATACTATTAATGTTACTATATATTGTGTGGCTTTAAATTACAAGAAGGCATTTTATTAATCTTTTGGGACGTTTACCACTGGCATACCCATTTAGTTTAATGAATGGAAATGTCAGCTTTCTATGTGGAATGAAATTGGCCCAATAAAACAAAATTTGGTTGTTTGTAAAAGATTGAATTATTTTTAAGAAGTCGTCAAACAAAGTGGAAAAATTTACATTTGGAGTTTAATATGGATATTGACTTGAAACAAATTAAAGTTGAAACTTTGTCAGTGAACAGATTACTTTTAATTTACCTTTGTTAAACCCAATTTAATAAATAGATCTGATTAAACCTCATGCTGCAGGTCTACCTTTACATCTGACCAATACATAATTAATATATATATTGTTAATAATAATACCTCCAAAGCTCAAGACATTGGTTTTATTCTTATTCTTCCCCTCTGTGGTTTGAATATAAAGTATAAAAGACTAAAAAGAGATTTTTGTAGACATCCCAGCCTTTGAACTACCCAAGGAACTGAAACAACAAAGTTTTGCTGTTGGGCAAACTTCCACGCCAGCCGCCTTTCTTTCCTCTCGCTTCGCCTCTTTTTAATCTCATACCCACCTTCTATAAGGGAAGGCAAAAGGCTCGCTCTGATGCATCTGGCCCACAGGCCAGGAGTTTGACACCCCTGATCTAGGCCAATCACAATGGCTTCATTGCATGATGAAGTCAATGAAAGGACAGGTTAAGTCATACCGCTTTGAAACATACATTCCCGTGGTGGCGAACCTGGCACGCGTGCCATAGGTGGCACTCAGAGCCCTCTCTCTGGGTACATGCACCGTCACCCCAGTCCTAGGCCTTCAGCTGGGTTTTATAAAACCTTTTCGCTTTAGGCCTCCACTGCCGTGTGCAAAAAAAAGAGGTTCGATCAATCAATCAATTTCAACTTCTCGCGGGAAAAAAGAGATCTCGCAAAGTTGGAATTGAACTTTTTAGTCCCAGCCAGTCTGCCATTACCACTGCAGCCACGCCCAACCAATGGACCACACCCAGCCAATGGGCCACGCCCACCCGGCACCCAACGATACGTAAGTGGGGTTTGGGTTGCAGTTTGGGCACTTGGTCTCTAAAAGGTTCGCTATCACTGGTATATTCACATCCTGAGGAGCCACAAACCGAAACTGATCAAATATAGTCTTGCAAGATTGGCTGGATTGCAGCACTATGTCAGACCAGAAGAGAAGAATTCATCTGCAAAGAACTAACTAAATGTGATGCAATCAGACATGCATTCTTGACAGAATTTGGTCAGGGAAATCTAAAGATTCATATAATTACTGCAGGTTAAGATTAATTTTGGAAGAGCCCAACTGTACTTTAAAACTGCTTTTGCTATGGTGAATTATCAGGGGCTGCTTGTAAATGATGCATAAAGCCAATGGCATACCACATTCTCTTAAGATCATCGGCACCCTACCCAATTCCTGGCCACCTTAAGAAAAGGATGCTAGCCAGAGACACACTTTCCAAGTGTGTAATTTTATTGTCCCTCAGCATAAAAGAGCAGGGGCACAGAGCCATTTTCCATACACTTTCCTCTTCTGATTCTGTGTAGCCTCCATCTCTCCCTGTTAACATTTCAGGACTGTAAGCTGTACATGGTCTAATATTTCATTCTCCATATGCAGTAGTCCTTAACTTACAACAGTTCATTTAGTGACCTTGACTTACAAGTTTGTTTAGTGACAGTTCATTTAGTGACTGGAACTTATGTCTATTTTTCACACTTGTGACCATTGCAGCACCCCCATGTGATAAAAATGTGAATGCTTGGCAACTGGATCATATTTATGATGGTTGCAGTCTCCCAGACATGTCACCAGCTTTTTGCAAGCTTCTGACAAGCAAAGTCAATGCAGAAGCCAGATTCACTTAACAACCATGTTACTAACAACTGCAGTGATTTACTTAACAACTGTTGCAAAAAAGATTGTAAAATGTGCAAAACTCACTTAACAAATGTCTTGCTTAGCAACATAAATTTTGGGCTCAACTGTGGTCATAAGCTGAGAACTTCCTATGGAAATTAAAATATATTTGGAATATTAGTCTATTTTTAACCAAGACTCAGTATGATATAAGGATCTGAATATTGATCAAGATTAAAATCTCTGTTCAGCCATTGTTAACACTGATTATTCAAGTGTTTAATACAGGGGTCTTTAAACTTGGCCCTTTTATGATTTGTGGACTTCAACTCCCAGAATTCCTCAGCCAGCATGCCTGGCTGAGGAATTCTGGGAGTTGAAGTCCACAAGTCATAAAAGGGCCAAGTTTGAAGACCTCTGGTTTAATACATCACATGGAGTCGAGGTGGTGCAGCAGTTAGAGTGCAGTACTGCAGGCCACTTTAGCTGACTGTGTTCAGCAGGTCAGCGGTTCAAATCTCACCGGCTCAAGGTTGACTCAGCCTTCCATCCTTCCGGGGTAGGTAAAATGAGGACCCAGATTGTTGGGGGCAATGGAAATATATATATATATACATTGCTTACTGGTGTACACCGCTTAGAGAGTGCTTGCACTTAAAGCGGTATATATAAGTCTCATAAATAAATAAATAAATGTGTGTTGTTCTCAGCTCCATTGAAGAAAGGAATACTATAAAGATAGATAATAAATTTGAAAGAGAGATTTAAATACTATATTTCTTTTCCTATTATCAGTGGAATAAAAACCTACCTGGATGGATCATATCCTATAATTGAAAGTCTGCACAGCTGGAGTAATGAATGTGACATTTGAAGGTAAATGCCTAATATTCAGAATTTCAACACATATTTTATGGAAACATTGTATCTTAACTAAGGGATTTCTTAACTTCTCTCAAGAAATAAGTTGCCATGTCACCTAGCAGGAGTGTTTTCTTTTTTTAAAAGGGGATTATAATAACATTTCCTTTAAAACAATTTAATTACAATCTCCTTTTAGTGAACGAAACTGGAAAATTATAGATAGGTAAGAAGACTGCTGAAGTAGATTTGTAATTTCTTGACAAACCTGGGTAAGGCAGTCTATCTAGTCCAGTGTTTCTCAACCTTGACAATTTTAAGGCATGTGGACTTCAACTCCCGGAATTCCACAGCCAGCATTGCTGGCTGTGGAATTCTGGGAGTTGAAGTCCACATGCCTTAAAATTGTCAAGGTTGAGAAACACTGATCTAGTCCCACTTCAAATAGGGTAGAACAGTGGTGGCGAAACTATGGCACGCATGCCAGAGGCAGCACTCAGTGCCCTCTCTGTGGGCACGTGTGCCGTTGCCCCACCAGAGTTCGCCAGAGTACCAAGCACATGGCATTTGGAAGTGACAGGGCAAGAAGTGAACAAGCAAGCAGCATTGCCTCCCCCCCGGGGATGCCCTGGAGATGGCGAAGGACTGGCCTTGGCCACACTCACCTGTCTGCCATGACCACTGCAGGCACGCCCCTGAGAGCACCACAATGCTGATGCAGCCCTGCCACTTTGCGATAAATAAGTGGGTTTTGAGTTGCAGTTTGGGCACTTGGTCTCTAAAAGGTTCACCATCACTGGGCTAGAACATGGGTGTCAAACTTGCTGCTTCATGTGGCATGTCGCAACTTTTTTTCACATTGCTGGAGCTGGAAGTGGTGCAGCCTCCACATGATGCAACCGGCTTGCAGGCTGGCAGTTTGACACCCCTGGGCTAGAACATGAGCCTATAACTAGGGCAAATGAACCATGGTATTGGATGCTGAAAATAGAACAGTAAAACCATCCAGATTTACTTATTCAGTGTTTTACAATAGTCCAGCAAGATGATCTGCAGTTTCTTATATAAAGCTAAGATATCTCAGAAAGACTTTAGGACAACCATCAAGTCCCTTTTCCCAACTATGTACAACTAAAATTGTAAGAAAAATAGCTAAGATTGTCGAACTGGATGAATAATTAATAAATTTATATGGCATCCAATTCCGAGCAACTCTAACCTAATAAATGTTGGTTACATGTGGTGATTATGTGTCATATTGGTATGTTGTCAATAGCTACTTCGTAAACTGAAAGGTTTGTCTCTTTCCAGTGTGGTTATTGTTTTCCATGGGAGATATTCTGAATAAAAGAGAAAGGGCTGAGTGGTACTCTGCAAAGATTTGAGGGTGCAGGCTAACTCAGGAACATTAATTGGAAACATTAAAAGTTTGAACTGTAAGAGACTATGTATGCCCAATTCATACTTATAGAATCATAGAATAGTACTGGAAAGGCTATTGAATCTGAACCCCTGATCAGTGCAGAAATCCATTGAAGCAATATTGAAAATGGCAGTATTTACCATATAGTTTTTCTATAAATGCTTTTTCATACATCTTCATTCTGGATTAAATAGTATGACAACATTCTCAACACTGCAGTATACTCATTCAATTAGTTGAATTCCTTGTTTTATGTAAGTCTGTTGCAGTCTCTCACATTCAAATTTCCTATGTTGCATTTACATCCAGCTCAGCTTGCTTTTTACTGAGCTTTCAGAGGAAATGCTCCAAACGATTAAAACTTTTCACCAGTATATTCTCAATATAATTTATATATTTTTTATTGTAGAGATAAAACATGTAGAATTCAAATGCCCATTTAAACATATGATTCCAAACTGCTGGAATGTATGTAAACACTTAAGAATCTTTGTCTTGGTCTTCTTGAATGCTGGAAATTTAGGAAACTCTGCTTACTCCAGGAAAATGTAAACATGGTCCTTTGAACTAATGTTTGCTACTGATTTATTACTGATAAAATGATAAAATATTAGCAATAGCTAGACTCTGCCGGCTGATGATGTTTAAGGAAAATCAGGTGTATGAATTAAATACTCTTATTAAACTGGTACGCTTTTATTCTATTAATTTCTTTAAAAACTTATCATTGTTATCAAAACGGTACTACTTTTATTTATCCAGAAAAAGCAAATTCTATTAAAGGCAATGAGCATATTCCATAAAAGTGGATGGAAGCTTTCTGTTTTCAATTTAGATTACAATATTTACAGAACACATAAACAATATTTTGTAAGAGATATGTTCTATCACAATCCAGCATACTATAAAATACAACATTTTAAACAATGTGGATTCATATTAGAATTTTTCTGTACCTTAAGCAACTTTTATTAATTAACGCATGCAATAGTGGGCAGATGGCTTTTGAGAATAATTGTAAACATACAAAAACAGTCATGTCTGAAATGATACATTACAATATATAATATTTCCACAAATACAAAATAAGCTTCTACCAAAAGGTACAAAAGATATGGTATATAATCTTTTTTTTAGTAACATACATTCAGAGGGCTGTCAGGTTAACCATGGATTTAATGATGTTAAAATATCTTAAGGTAAATTAAAGTTTTCACATATTGCAGTCACAGATTCTACCCAATATTTTCGGTGATCATTTAATTTTCCTATTGAGATTAATGATATTAAATTCTCTGCAATCTTCTCTGTTTATTTAAGATTAAACTGACTGAACTCTGTGTTCTGTTGCTGACTAAACATCCATAGGGTTGGAATTCTGAATGTGTACTGTAGGAATCTGGACATTCTGATTGCCAAAGGTATATCTGTTTACACAATGGCTACGACAGTGTGTGTTGGCAACTAGGCAACAACTCACACAAATTCTTTTAAAAAGGCAATGTGACATTATTCCCGCTAACCCAGGGATTCCCAACTCCTGGTCCGTGGACCAGTACCGGGCTGTGGCATACCAGCAACCAGTCCACACAAACAAGCAAAGTCCCATCCACAGGATGCTGGCAACACACAAAATGCCTCCTCCCAATCCACAGAAAAACCTCTCTCCACGTAACCGATCCCTGGTGCCCAAACGTTTGTGGAATTCTGCCCTAACCCAGTCCACCAATGCTTTGCACTGCTGCAATTTTTCATTGTCTTTCTCTTGCTAGGCTTACACCCAAGTTCCACTTTTATTCTGGAACACTCTGGGGGTTCTACATGAGATCCATAGGTACTCTTGTAAATAAATATGTCACGGACTGGCATTTTGGTTTTGCAGCATGCAAGCATTCCATATATTTTAATTAAAAAATAAAGTCCAATGCTGCAGAAGCCTAACTAGCCCCACTGGGGTTGTCCTAAGGTTCTCTATACACATAGACATCACACTGCCTATCTGTGAGCTACACTGTATATATGCTTAAATTTGGAAAGTCAAGCCTACATTATTATTCTACTCCCAAGTAACTAATCCTGCATTAGTTACTTGGGAGTAGTAACTAAAGTTTAAGTGTCTTGAAAAATCAACCTTACATTCAATGCCATCTGAATCCTAAATATGTATATGGAGTATTGTCATGATAAAATGGGATGAGAAGATCAGCAGCAGAGAAGCACTTTCCAACTGCAACTATCCAATAAATCAGCTTTGTTTGTTGCCTAATAGGTTTGCCATCTAATAACTATTTGGGTTTGGGGCTGTTTTTTTTTTGCTTTTGCTTTAAATCCATATACTGAGAATAAAGTTGTACTATCACATATTGAGGAGAAAGAAAACTGAAAAGTGAAACTCAATTTTACCTTCTCCCCAATTTCAATCTATGAGACACATTCAATATATAAATGTTAAGAAGTATGCAGGTAAATTCAGATGGAAGATCGTGGGCATTACCACCAATGGCATTTATGCCTCTCTCTCAAGAGATTTCTTTAATGGGGGTGGGAGACCAGAAGAAACACAAAATAGCTATCTAAGTATTCTGCACTAATTATCAGAATGGAGCAAATTTATCATATTCTTAACCTTGTCTAGAAGCATCCAACAAATTTTTTAACACGGGAAACCTGCACACACAAAATACTATGGTGTTCAATCATTTAGTATGAAGGAAGCTATGAAGCATTGCTATAGCAGAAATGCCAGTAAAAAAATATTAACAGAGTCTAATGCTTAGAAGATTGCGTACCGAATGTATAAATAACTACATTTTCAAACATTTTTACTAATACATATTTGGATAAAGATTTTGAACCACAGGCTAAAAACAAAAACTTAAAATTGTCTGACTGTTAAAAAATCCCTTATATATTTACTCAATAAAATATTATCTTGGAATAAATCACCTCACCAAAGTTTCTGTCCTTTACAAAAAGCAATTAATTCCTGAACAGAATTGTTATTAGTTATCAAACTTCAGAATGCAATTTCTTTTTTTTTAATATAATAAGTCTGAAAACAGGAACGGCTAAAAATAAACTGTTATTCAAACAAACACATATTGCTTTATTTACTAAAAGTATCTTTTATTAAGTCCACATCAAACAGATTAAATGCCATCATGTCTATAGGGTTTTATGTTACCGAGGACTTCATCTTCCCAGTTGGGAAGACAGCAGAAAAAGAACGCACAACCTATCACAATCACTGTGCTTGCCCAACCAAAGCCATAAGCCCAGCTGAACATGTTGCTTCCCGTCAATATAATATCTTCAGTGTATTTCACTGGATAGATGACCAAGCCTAAGATCTGGAAAGCAGCTGGATGGAAACAAGGAGGAAAAAAAGGCATTAAATAAAATCTCACACCACACAGATTATTTGCAGCAAACTGTATTTACGTTAGAAGAGATTAGGATGGCCCCAATCCTGCTATCCTTTGTAAGATTCTAAAGACCTGCCTCTATGCCCAGAATTGGGGCCTTAAGCATATGAAGTGATTCATGTCCTGCTGTATTAGCGTTTGTTGACTGGGTTTATTTCCTTGACTGCTGTGCATTTAAATTATTACACTGGTAACAATATGTTGCAACTGTATTTTTATTTAATATATTTGTTGTCCAATCACTTGTTGAGATTGGTGGTTTTACATACTGACTGATTGAATAATGAGGTATTGTTAATATAGTACAAGACACCAGAGTATCTATCTTAATTATAATCATTTATATAAATAGATATAACATTTCCTAATTAAATCTCTTAAAGTTTCAGCCTTGTTTCTTGCATGCTATCTCACCAAATAGAGTTGAGATTGCTGCAATCTCATCTAGGGAGAATAATCCTGCATAAGAGAGATGGCTGAACTCTGCTAATGTTCAATGACCTACCTCTGTAATTATTGGCAAGACCCTTCATTGGTCCTACCAATAATTAGATTTTTCAAGTCTGTTCGCTAAACACTTGGAAAATTTTTATACCATTGACTTTATTTCCTATCAGCACAAAGATTGTTGATAATAACTTGTAAAAAAAATTTCTTAATCATGGGAAAACATCTATAACACACAATGTATGAAACACCACTATGTGTATAGCAACCAGACAAATCAATATTAATGTGATACTTACATCTGTTAAACACATCACAGAATTAGGAGCCATTAGGCATATTCCTTGTCAAAACAAGTATCCAGCACAATTGATTCCACTTTCCAACCACTTATTTTAAGAATTTTTCCCCTAACTTTCCATTGGAAACCTGCCCTCCTGTAATTTCAGAGCACTGTCAAACAGATTACATTTTGGGATAACAAAAATGGCTATTTCCATGCCTATTTCCTATGGAATATTCCCTAAGATACTTGATTGCTATCAAATCCTTCAAATACACCTGGGAGTTTTGTGCTATTATTGTTGCAGAGCTTAATATATTTAGTCTTTCATGTATTTTCTCACTGAAATTTTCAGTTCTATAATCACGTTGGCCTTCTTTGAAACTGTTAAAATGCATCTGGATCTTCAATTGTGGCACCAAAAACTGGCCAGATGTTCAAGAATGATTATGACTAACGCAGAATAGAATGGAACTCATACCCTGTGATTTAGAAAATAGGTTTCTACTGATACTACTTAAAACCACATTTGACTCTCTGCAGCTATCCATATTCAAGCATGGTCAACTACAATGCCAATTTTTTGCTTACAACATTATGAAACCAGGTTTATCTGTGCATATCTGATTCCTTTTTCATGTGACAAACTTTGTATTTGCCTCTGCTCTGTTATTTTCAATTCTGCTTTCTACCCAGGGGAGGGGGGGGGGAATCCATAGGCAGTTCTCCAAGACTGTGAGGCACAATTTTGGATGTTGAATATGCAGACAGGGTGAAGTGTGGGAATAGCAGTGTTTTGCCTTTCCCATCCCCACTCTTAATGCCCCATATATGCCAAAATAAGACAGAAATCCGACTACCCTTCTCAACTGTATCCTGCAGCCTTCCAAAAACCTGAAGGTTGAGTTACAACTTCCAATTCTCAGAAGCTGCTCAACTTAACTTGACTTATTAAAATAATTTTGATTTACTCTTTCATCTTTAAGGATACTAGTAGTCATGCCTAATTCTATCTTTAGCAAGTCTGGCTGGCATTCCTTCCACCACCTCCAAGTCATTAATAAAAATACTGAAAGATGTGAGATCCAAATGAAGGATCTAGTTGGGTTTCTGCACTACACTAAGCTTTGGTTGGGTAGCCATGATTTCTGAATAAATCATGATTGGATAAAGCTTTACTGTATAGTAATCTATAAACTATGCTTCAAAAATCACCCTTAATTCATGTAAGACAATAAACCCAAACTAAAGAAACCAAATTGTATGAAGTTTTATAAATGATTCTCATGATAGCTGTGGTTCATTCATAACTAACTTGCTACATATAATCCTAGGAGCTTTTTTGTTAAATTGAAGGTATTAAGTTCTATTATATCCACAATACAGAAGGGAATATACTGATGCATTAAATATATTTTTGCAAATTAATGCAATTGTAAATTTATGCAAATAAAAACTCATGTGAAATATCTTTAATAATACATCCCAACAGTAATAATCTAAATATATATAAAAGTTCCTCCAAAAATGAAGAGACTTGCCTATTAAAAAATAAACTTGGGGGAGGCAAATTAGAAACTAAATGATGAATTAATGCTGGCTAGCTCCAATTAAGAAAGCTGACCTGATTGAGTCTGGACAGTTGTTTGTTGCTAGTATGAAATCTAAATAAAGTTGTACAAGAGGAGGAAAGAGCTGACTAAGAAATTAAAGCTTTTTTTTTTTTTTTTTACATATTCTAGAGCAGGGCTTTTCAACCTTTTCACCCATTGTACCACTTTTAGGATATGGCAACATTCGAGTACCACCAGTCGCCTAGCAAGGTGTCAAAAACTTGATGACCCCAAAAAAGGGGGGGAAGTGATAAAATACAGGTAGTCCTCGACTTACAACACTTCACTTAGTGACTGTTCAAAATTACAATGGCACTGAAAAAAGTGCACCCCAAGTCACAGCCGAGCAGGACGCCTGCCCGTCCGGCGGCGCTCTTCTTCCTGTCTGAGGTTTTCATTGTTGTGAGCATTTCTGTTGAGGATTGGAAGTGGGGGGGTGGGGGGGTAGGAGTGTTTGGTTTTTATTCCTCCCCATCTGCTGGGTGGTTGCAGCAGGTTTTGGTCACTTCACATGACCCTGGGACACTGTGACCATCATAAATATGATTCAGTTACCAAGCATCTAAATGTAAATCACAAGACCCTGGAGATGCTGCAACATTCCAGCTGATTGGCGCTTCTTCTGGGCTCAGCAGAAGTGCCAGGATCAGTGCTGCTTTCCGGCTCATTGGTACTTCTTCAGAGCTCAGCAGAAGCACCAGGATCAGCACCGAGTTCCAGCTGGAGCCTGGCACTGATCCTGGCAATGATCCTGGCACTTCCACTGAGCCCTAACAGCCCCGAAGAAGCGCTGATCAGCTGGAAAGCGGCACTGATCCTGGTGCTTCCGCTGAGCCCTGACAGCCCTGCAGTTCCAGCCATCTCTCGCTCAGGCTTGTGCAGTGCTGCCACTGATTCAGCTCATTCCCCTCCCCCACTACCACTTTTCTAGGATGGTCGTGTACCACCTGCCAGGTGCCAATGTATCACAGGTGGTACCCGTACCACTGGTTGAAAAGCCCTGTTCTAGAGAGAAGGAAAGTCAAAGAAAATCAATTTTCTTATCTACAGGCTTACCAACAACGAAGAGCAAGCCACCGATTCCTCGAACAAAGTTAAACCGTAGGATTTCAATGGAAAATGCTATGACTGCTAGGCAGAAACAGATGCAGAGGATGACAAAACCAACAAGGTATGTAGCAGCAGCAGCTCTGCCCCAACCTTTGGGGGGGGAAAAAAGAAAGATAAGAATCATATATACTTTACATATAAATATATACATTTTGTATTGAATGTAAGCTTAGAAAAATATTGGTTAAAGGGACTGAGCAGACTCTTGCTTTTATTGTTAAAGGCATTATCTATTACATATTGTGATGCTTCTTTTCATCTTACACAACTGCAAATCCCTACAAAGAATCAATAGCTACTGTACTGTAGGCCTGAATTTGGTTGATTATCTTCTATTGACAGCTTTTTCTTTCTGTGTTCAAGGCATCCCCCCATCACTGCATTTTTAAAACAATCTGGGTAATCTACACAGTCACAAGGGAAGTGAGATTTTTTGCTAAATTAAAGAACCCTAAATAATATACCTAAATATATTGCTTCTGCTCGTTTTTTTCCCTGTGGCCTAGTGCCAAGCCATGATTTACTTAACTATAGTTTATTGAATAAGCTACAATTAGATAAATATACAAAACAAGTTTTTGTGGTTAAGACCTTGTATTGTATCCCAGTAACTTTTCAGAAATGGCGTTTATACAGCACTGTTCCAAATAGTTTCAACAGTCAATGAATCAAACTTTACCATTACAGCTCTTGTTTATACTTCTGATTAGTGCAAGTGCACTAATGTATTTTAGTTCTTTACCCTACAATTCCCAATATGGACTTTATTTTCCACAGCAATCATAACCTCATCATCTTCTAGGTAAGTGTACTTGAACACCAAGAATTTCCCAGCTCTCTTCATTACAGCAGAGAATTGAGGATAATTCGCAGAAGTCTTCACATCAGATTGGTCTCACTAGGGAAGACTACACTAAATCAACACTTTTTATCCATCATAATCCCAAGATCCCTTTCTTAGTTAGTGATCACTTGCTTACAATCTGACATATGTAAATGTTTTTTTTTTAATCTTCCATAGGTTTACACTTTACAGTAAATTACATTTGTTCATCCTCCAGATTTGAAGGCATTCTTTTGGGATTTTGTAGTTTCTCTCCTTGATCCTCAGACAATTTGGTCACTTCCAGAACATTTATGAATTAACCAAAGTACTCATCTGATTATAGACCCTTGGATTAACCCATTGCTTACTATCCTCCATTATGAGAAACAATTGTCACTATCCTTTTTGACCTGCAGCACTCAAAGGTGGACACAGGATTCACTTGTTGACCAAGAGGGGAGGTTGAGTTCACCTGATAATACAGCCATTAATCTTAAATCCTCCATTTTAACCACTTGATTACCTCAGTGCTAAACATATCCTTTATTTAGTGCCACTGTTGCTCATTCCCATTTCTTGAGGGGCCAATCTTAGTATTTTCTCAGATCACCATATCTAATTTATTTAAATCACGTTTTTTTTTTTTCATTTTGCTAAGAGTATAGAATTTAATCTGTTGTCATGGGATCTATATCCCTTTCATTCTATGGGGGAAAAGTGATTGTAGTTTTCTATTTTCCATCTGGAAAGGACGGCCACAGTATTAAAAATAACAGGTTATCCCTCATGTATTCCATCTTCCTACATTCTAATTTCTATAACAAATAACTTTTGGTGAGGAGCTATTCTTTAATGCAAAAAAATAATTCAAAAAAGATACATAGGATTCCATGTTACATCTAGTTTAATCTTGAAGCAAATCTGAATTACAAACTCTGCAATTTAATTATCATTCCAAACAAAGAATGCCTTCCTCCCCAATGCATAGGGAGTGGCTCTTTTCTGTATTCTGTGCAACATCAATACTTAACAAGTACAATCTTGAATAAGAATTTGTGCCAGTTGCAAGTCTGTCATTAACAAGTGATCTTTCTCCAAGGTAGCTTCCTTTTAAGCGAAAGGGTGGAATAAAATCAGTGTATGAATTACTTGCAATTTTTAATCTGAGTAACATCATTATAAGTATTAAGTCTTCCTATTCTGCACTCTGTTTTTCTCATTTTTTAAAAAAGGAATTCATGATGCAAATTGTAAGCAAGTTCTTCATTCAGGTAATTGCTGAAATTTTGCAATAATCTTACCAATTAACTAATTTATTGTGACACATTAATCTTAGCTAGCTCACCTGCAGCAAACACTGTAATAACACAAAGATTTAATGTTCATTCATTCCATTCCCAGTATATGTTGAATATATTCTATCTGGATGTTCTTTACAAAACATACACAAAAAGTGCTGTAAGAAAGGCCAAAGTTTAAGCACTATCTTTAAATTTTTTTCACATCTGAAATATCAGTTTAGCTTCCCTCACAGAAATCTAAATTTAAATACATAAAACAATCTACCCATGTTAAAATATTTTCCATGTATTCAAGTACACAAAATTTTGATTTAATGTTTTTGTTTCCAAATTGAATCACTGAGCTTCTTAATTCTAAATCCTAGATTCCCCTCCCCCATTATCCATATTTGATAACTAATTATGTTTAGAGAGCCCAAACATACACAACTTATAAGCAGTTACACTGTACTTTTAAAGACATCTAGGTTAGGGCAGAATTTGCTATCATAATTTCACTGACCTCAATTATCAGATCTACCCTGAATACAAGTGTTGCAAAATAAATTGGAATAGTACAGGTAGTCCTTGACTTACAACCACAACTGAGCCCAAAATTTCTGTTGCTAAGCGAGACATTTGTTAAGTGAATTTTGCCCCATTTTACAATCTTTCTTGCCACAGTTGTTAAGTGAATCACTACAATTGTTAAGTTAGTCACACCATGTTAAGTCTTCCCTTTAAGACTTTGCTTGTCAGAAGGTCATACAAGATGTTCACATGAGCCTGGGACATTACAACCATCATAAATGTATGACAGAAAGTGTCCAAATTTTGATCATGTGACCATGGGGAATGCTGCAACAGTCGTAAGTGTGAAAAATGGTCATAAGTCACTTTTTTCAGTGCCATTGTAACTTTGAACAGTTACTAAATGAACTATTGTAAGTCAAGTTAGTCCTTGAACTGTTGTAAGTCAAGGACTAACTGTAGTTTTTGTTTGGCCTGTATTTTCATACATTAATCTTTACATCAAAACCTGTGTTTTATTTTGTTGACATGATTTCAGTTAAGACAAAATTGATTCCAGGAGGTTCTTTGCAGCTGATAAACTTGTTTGGGAAAGATAAAAGGAACACTTGATTCATGCCAGAATTTTTAGACACTCCTCACAGAATTATTATCAACTCTGACTAATAGCACAATATATGCTATCTCAAAGGCTTCTGTAGAAGTCGCTTTCCATTTTATCTCAAAAACAAGTCTATGAGGGGGTAGACTCAGCTGTCCCAAGAATCACTGGCCCAAATCTCCCACCATCAGTGTGGTTAGTCATCAAGAATATTCTCTTCCCTAGAGGAACCCATTTTTAATGGGAAATTATATATTTATTTCCTTTAATCGATCGAACTATAAGTGCTAGGCTCCTCAGCTTATGTAATTTATATAAAAATTTGCTCTTACTTAAATAACCGATTCTATACCTTTTTTGTCAAAAACAATAGTTAAATAAAGGTAAGAATTAGAAAGAATATTTATTTCTATTACATTTTAAGAAATATACCAGTGAAATAGCTTGCATTTGAAGTACAAATTATACCTATTCTTTATATAAAGGAACAAATGCAATTGTCACTTTGATTTTTCCAATTAAAGGCAAAAAAAACCCCAATGATTACCAACAGTTTAAAAAAACATCTCTAAAGGACATGCTTAGCAGCACCCAAGTTCCTCTGCTTCTACAATTCCAATATACTTTGTTATTCCATTAGTTCTCAAGGCACCATTGTATACACACTCAATCTTCTGTAATTGGCACCCTCCAGATGTTTTGGGATCCCAAATATACTTTGCTGTCTGAAAATCTTCGTAATTGCCACCCCAACGTTTCTGGAGGCACCAACCTGAGGAAATCTAAGTTAATGTATCACACGAAGTCTAAATATAGTAATATGTTAACTTCTGGGTACGTTTTTTTCCCCCTTAACTACCAAAGCTTGCAAAGCGCTGCAGATCTTCCCCTATTTGGCCACAATTCAATTCTAGCTCAGTCTAACAAGAGATTACACACTCTTTTGGTATCAAGTTACAAACAGCAGTGGGGGCAAAGGAATAGTTGCTCTCCCACCACCTCTGAAAGCACAAAGGCTATTTGCTTCTCCAGCTCTGACCGGAAGGTTAGGATTTATGACGAAGAGGAGGAATACAATCAGGGCAGTCAAAGACTCGCTTTCTGTGCATTAAAACAAACGCACGATGAGCAAAGCTGGTCAAGTTTTGATGAGTTAAAGGTGCGGCAACCAGTTTTATCCAGAGCCTTTCAAACTAATTTCAATGAATAATTTCGATTGAGGCGGCAATTCGCCTTATTGCATCTTAGAATAGAACTGGTAGGGACCTTGGAGATTTTCTAATCCAACCCCCTGCTCAGGCAGGAAACCCTATACTATTTCAGACAAATAGTTGTCCAGTCTCTTCTTAAAAACTTCCAGTGTTGGAGCATTCACAACTTTTGGAGGCAGGTTGTTCTTAAAATCTTAAAATCCTCCACAGAGCAATCTGTAACTAACAAAGGCCTCGTCGCCTGTTAAGCCTTTAATCTCCCCCTGCGCCTCGCTTTAGGATCTCTAGCCCCTCTTTTGAATAGCAGTCCGGTTTCTGCTCCTCATTACCGGTTTCTCAGGCTCACCGGGCTATTAGTTTTGCATAAAAGCGAGGCTGAAGCCATATACGCAGTTTGTTTCCAAGCAAGGCCTGTACTTTAATGTCCTTTAATGTGAACCGTTGCGTCCTTTGCAAAATGTGAACCGGGAAAGTTTCTTCCCGGACCCATTTTTCGATTAGTTCCGTCTTTTTCCCCACCGTAACCCTCCCAACATCGACTAAATAAAGCGAGACTTGCGAAAGGTTAACAATGCACGCCACTTGCACCAAGACTTACTGTAATCCATGAGAGAATTGCAGATCCACTTCCCATCCTCGGGGTTTTCTTTGCGACAGTCTTGCCACAACCAGGCTTTACGCACGTAGGGGGCTTCGGCCGACTCCAGCCATCCCTTGCCAGCCAGTGCAATGATGCCAAAGATGATGGCTATACCCAAGAGAAGGGGCAAGATCCATCTGCACCTCCAGCAGGCCAGGCCGCACCTGAACATTTTGCGCAGACGGACTTCAGGTGAGGAAAAAGGAGAGAAAAGCAGGAAGCGTGGCTTCGGGTTCCCCTTTAAGGCCAATATCCTAGGGCCGGGCTTGCGCCTGGGAGGAGGCGGTAGAAAAGGCGCTGCGCTTTTTAAGCAGCGGGCAAGGTTCGAAGGACGGCCCCGCCTAGATTTCGGGCGCGCAGAGCGCCCGCCGCTGTTGTTGCTGCTGGAAGAACCTGTCGAGCGAGAGAGAAACTGATGATAAACAAACCTGGATTCCAAGCACCCTCCCAGGCTTTTAACTCTTTCTAGGCGGGGGAGGGCAGCATGCATATCCTGAGGTGCGGTTCTGTTAGGCTGCCTCTTAATGAAAAGCGAGCAATGGTAACTCCCGACAAATACACTCGTAAGTGAATGGATATCCTCGCGTATCCGTAGGTAAAGCAGCAAGTAAGGGTAATTAGAAGGAATTTCTAAGGCCACGTGCTTAAAAACAGGTTGCAAGTGGTGTTATCTCAGGAATTGCTTGCCAGATGCATTCCTCTCTTTCTTTTGAATGACAGTTTTTGTTTTTTGTTTTTGAAAGGCTGGTCGTTTCAGCCCAAACTTCAAAGCCGAACCCTTCCCAATTTTCCAGATGGTTTGGAACCGGCAGCTTATAAAATTCCCGGTATTTGTACTCTGGGTTGGATGCCACTGGGTTGAGAAGGCTTCTGTAAGAGATTTAAAGCTACCTTCTTGTACCCTTCTTTGACATGTATATATTTTTTTTCAATATGTAAAATGTGAAGAAACCTTGCTGTCAATTTTACAGATGAGAACAAACCTGCAGTTCTCTTTCTCTGTCAAATCAAACAACCAGTGGTGGGATTCAGCCGGTTCGCACCACTTGGCCAGAACCTGTAGCTAATTTTTTGTTGGCCGGGCCCAGAATGGATTTCCGGAAGCTGCATCCACACACAGAACCTGTTGTTCACAGATTTGAATCCCACCACTGATCTTAACAGTTTTCAGGAATCTCTTATTGTTTCTGCCCTTGAACCAAAGAATACAAGTAGTCCTTGACTTACAACAGTTCATTCAATGACAATTTGAAGTTAAATGGCACTGAAAAAAAGTGACTTGTGACTGTTTTTCACAAGACCATTGCAGCATCCCCATGGTCGTGTGATCAATATTCAGATGCTTGGCAAATGGTTCATATTTATGACAGTTGGGATGTTCCAGAGTCATGTGATCACCTTTTGCGACCTTCTGACAAGCCAAATCAATGGGAAAACCAGTTTCACTTAACAACCAACTTAATAACTTAAAACTGCAGTGAATCACTTAACAAAAGTCGTAAAATGGGGCAAAACTCACTTAATGTCTCAGTAACAAAAAGTTGGAGCTCAATTGTGGTCATAAGTCGAGGATTGCCACTTCATGCAGTCTATACCCCTACTCAAATGTAGAGACTTATAAGAAGACCTTCACTTGACAGATATTATCACGTTAGATTTTTATTCCAGCAGGGTGTGGATGCATGCAAATGAATGAAGTGGCAGATACTCATATATTACATTTACTGTATGGCCTTATTATTGTTTGGTTGACTAGTTTTACTCAACAGCTATACATCTTCTAGTATTACTGAAACGATCGAGCAAAGATTTATCCAATGGAAAAATAAGATTTAACTGCATATCATGCAATAAAGTCAGTACATCATTTGGCTCTGAAATCATAGCATTACATCATTGAAAACTAGAAGTGAAAAATTCATATTTTGAAAGTTCCTCAAGTTATTTTTTAAGTTAAAAAGGATGCTGAAGGATGCTGAAGGAAAGTGATAAGCCCTGCTGAGTTAGTTTTCTTCTTGTGTTGATCTTTATATAGAAGAAAGCCATTCATAGATTCCTCAGCCTGGCTCTGTATATTGTTTGTTCAGTTATTTATATGAGTGGTGCATCTATTTATAAGGATTGTCTCAGCAACCAGACAAAATGGCAGAAGATTAGATTTCCTAGTGATTTTGGAAAGATCTTTGAAGGAAACAACATCCTATGAGAAGCTCAGTTATTTTTTGGAGGTCCATAATTGGAGGTAACAGATTTAATTACATGCAGCCAGTAGCAATTTCAGGGATTCGGTTTGAGACCAATGAAACAGAAAGGGCAATGTTTTGCAATGACAACCACCCCCCCCCCCAAATTCTCCCAAAGCCACAGTTCTGCTTTACATGGACCACAATATTCAGATTTCAAAAAAATGTAGTGAGTGTGATCTGAGAACTTTTATTGCCATAAATAATCTTCAGTGTATTTATTACGAGAAGAGAATTGCATTGATTTCCTTGGGCTCCTTAGTTACATTTTTCTACTTTAAGCTATGGAATTTTGTCATGTTCCGTACAGTATTTCCAATGTGCCAGACTGACAAAACACAGATGTGCAAAAATATTAGTGTCACTTTAGCTGGTAGTATCTGTGCTGATCTCCTTTTCTGGTTCGTTGAACTAGTTGTCATAGCTACATAATGATTGACTCTTCTAGATATACAAGATAAATTGAATGTTTGAGTAGAAGCAAGTAATGCATTCTTATCCGTAGATACATGGATTACAACATCCTATATTTTTCAGCCAGTTTGTTGATTTATTCTGGAATATGACAGCATTACTGTTAGCATGGCCTTAGTCAAAATTTTGCTTGGCTCACACATTTCTTAATAGATATGATAGGCTTGTTCTATTAATCTGGTCTGTTTTCTTTGATCCTTTTTAGGTTGTTTACCTTTGACATTTGGGAACATGTTGATGACAGCCATTCAAATGGTTGCTGTGGATGGCTTTTGTGTTCCCAAAACTATGGAAGAGCTACGTAATTAGATTTATCACAAAGCTGCCTTCTCTTCCCTTAACAGGAGTTCCCTGTTCACTTAATTTTCTGAGCATATGGGATTCTTTAAAGTTTTAGATTATTGCCCCCCCCCCATTTATATTTTCTAAGAAAGTTTATTGTATTCATTTGAAGACCACAAGCATTTTTTAAAATAAAGATGAAACTGCAAGATGACATTTACAGCGTACCAATTTTCCACTATTTTTAATTAAAACAATAACAAGTCAGATTGGATCTAGTGGCACTAAGAACGATGTCTGTCCATTAGCTTTCCCAAGCAATATATAGATGATTTCAGCATGTGTCAGAGCCTATATGCTAGAATATATTTTTCTTAACATTTCTTCTTGATTTTCTGAATATCTATCCATTCCAAATTGTGCAAATGCAAATTTAATCTACAAGTTGTATGCATATTGATGGAATTTTCCATTCTACATACATTATGCTCACCTTGTCATAGCACGTCAGTTACTCTGTTACAACTGTGAGTGAAACTGAACAGGTCTTCAAATCAATGACTCAACAGAGAAAAATTAGTCTGGAGAAGAACAAATTCTTGCCCCAGCAGATTTTACCAGTTTTGCATATCTCACAGCTACTTAACATTTGTTCCTAAGACCCATCTCTAAGTGAGGAACGTGTGGAATGGTATAGACATTATATTCTGTGGTTGCTGTTTCTGATTTACACCTTTGATAATTAGTACAGACTGTCCTGCTTTTTAAGAATCAGGCCAGAAGACATAACTCCTCTGAAATGTGTTAGTTGAGAAATTGGGTCTTTGCAATGAGTGTGTCCTTAAAAGGGCCTCTCTTTAAGTAGCAATTAGGCTAGTTCATAATGAAACAGGCAATCTCTTGGATAGCCAAAATGAAATCATGTTGGTTCAACGCTTTGAAGTGATTCTGGAAAACTGGTAATCACAGCAAATCTCCCAGTATGATATGCCACAAGTGTTTTACCCACTGAAACAAAGGAATTGTTAAGTCAAGATTAATTATTCCAATTGTGATGCTCTTTACCAGTCCTATTTGGTCCCAGGAGAGTTTGATGACTATGAAGAAATCAAATGGGTAAAAGAAATCTGCGAGGGTAGGATTATGAAGGCATGGCGTGAAATTTAGGAATCATATTTGTGATTATAGGGAAACACAGTTTTAATAATTCAACTTATATTGTCCTATAATGTCAGGATATATGAGGGTTAATAGGAAATTAATAATCTCACACTAGTGACAAATTTTGTAAAATAAAGAATGAGCTTTCTTCTTGACAAACCAAACAAGTAGTTTGGTTATTTCATTTCATTTTATTAAATTTATTCTAGCTGCCCACTCCAACAGATTTTGGGCAGCTCATAAAATTTAATACCAAGTTAATACAGTTAGAAGATTTAAATAGCCCAAATTAAAAATAGCCTTCAAAACACAAAGTGACACAGTGACCCCAAATACTGTATAGTGTGGCCTGGGCTGAAAGCCAGATTTTAAGACCATTTCAGAATCCCAGGAGAGTGAGTGCCCTTTGTACCTCTGAGGGAATGTTTTCTAGATATAGGTGAGACAAGGTGGGCATAAAATATGCACCATGGAAAATTCCAGCCATATATGCATACAACTTGCAAATTAAATTTGCATTTGCACAATTTGGAATGGATAAGATATTCAGAAAACTGAGAAGAAATGTTAAGGAAAATATAGTACAGGGGCTACCACAGAGAAGGCACACTTCATAGGTCCCACAAGATGGCAACATTTTATAAAAGGGACCTAGAGCACATCTATTTTGCCCAAATCAGAAAAAACGGACCCTCAGATAATAAAGTCCTATGCCATGAAAGCCTTTAAAGGTAACAATCAGCATCTTGCAATGCACCTAGATGCCAGCTGGTAGTCAATGTACTCATGTAGCAGTGTAACACATGGGCACAATGAGAAGTGCCCGTTACTGTTTGCACTGCTGTATTTTGAATCGGCTGCAGCTTTCAGATGTTCTTCAAGGTGACCTCGTGTAAAGCACATTGCAGTAGTCCAGTACTGTGGTTACCATACTATGAGTGATTATCTGCAGGGCCCCCTGGTCAAGGAAAGGGCACATTTGGAGCACAAGATGTACATGTATAAAGGCCAATAGATTCAGCAATAACTGAGTCCAGGAGGACCCCCATGTTGCACACAAGTCTTGAATGAGTTGGAGCAGCCATATTCAAGATAGACGGTGGAAACATTTCCAGTATTTGGGGAGAGGGGAAGTTACCAGAGCAACTCAGTCTTGTCAAGATTGAACCAAATTCTGTT